TTTGCTTCATTAAAGCTCATAAACTTTGTGGTATCGCACGTATCGAAATTATTCGTGCAAAAAATCTTAGGCAAGCCGATACATGGTTTGGAGGTGGTTCCTCTGATCCATATGTTAGGATAACAAACATTTCTACTAGTTTGGTGTTCGGTCAATCACGTATCATCTACTGCAACTGTAATCCCATTTGGAGAGAAGTTTTCTATATTCCAATTTATGATATTCGTGAAAAATTCAATTTACAAGTTTTTGACTATAATGCTTACTTTAAGCATTCATTTTTGGGTTTCTACATTCTTGATCTCAAATCTATAATTAAAGAACTTCCTGATGGTTCTTTAAAAGGAAAGCAATTAAATCTTGATGCAAATCTCACTTATAAAGGAAGTTCCAGAGGAAAGTTATCGTTTTCCGCTGACTTTTTCTCGCTTTCCGAATTCGATAATGATTCGGAAATTATTACCACAACTAATGTTGCGAATAAACATTTATATCTCATTACGACTTATCAACTTGAATGTGGTTGCTTTGAACTTACCGATTCTTTAGCAAAATTATTTAACTTTTCTTCTAAAGATGATCTTATTAAAGCTTTTTCTGCTCACGTACAAAATGATAAGGAAGTTCTTAATTTGGATCATAATATTTGGGTAACTGTCCTTGTCACTTCTTTCCTTAAGGCTTTGATGTGGGATAAATGTCGTGAGTGGTTGAATATTTACAACAGCGCTGAGTCTTGGTTGAGTGAAACTATTCTCGATATAGATGTAGAAGAACGTCTGTATGATTATTCAAATAAATTTGTTATTAAACGCTTTGAAGTCACTAAATGGGTTGATGATGATCAAAAAAGAAGTTTGGGTCTTATCTGTAAGAACTCTATTAATTATTTTAAAGTTTTTATTAATATTATTTAAATATATGTTTATATAATTATTAATTTTTATTATAATAGCTATTTCAAAGAAACCAATCACTCGACGATATGTTACTATACGTATTGTTCGTCGATTCATCACTTATCAGAATGAATCTGGTTGTTTCGAACTTACCACTCAATTAGCCGAATCTTTGGGCTTTAACTCGATTGAAGAAGCCAAACAACATTATGAAACTCATTTTTCATCTCAGTCACCTAGAATTGCTCAATTGGATGCTCATGTTTGGAATACTGCTATTTTGATTTGGTATCTTCGATATGTATTAGTTGATTTCCGAAGTGAGTGGGCTGAGGTACACCCAAAAGCATATGATTGGCTTTGTGAACAGGTGAAAGATGATAAAGCGCGGGAAGAACTTCTTGAGGCTGCTAAAATCTTTGTTGTTAAAAGATTTGAAGTTGATCAGAGTGCTATAAAAGAAGATAAAACTTTTAAAATTAAAGCTAAGGATAGTCGAAGTCGGGGTATTGATTTTGAAGTTGATCATTTTTCCCATAATGATGAGGTTATTGGAATAATTAAAATTATTGTTAAGTGTGCTAAAGATCTTAGAGAATCCGATAGTTGGTTTAACATTTCTAATCCAGATCCGTACATTCGTATTGTGAATGCTGCTGGAAATGAAATCGCTCGCTCTAGTGTTAATCATGGAACTGTTAATCCAGAATGGAACGAAATTTATTTCGTTTCAATTCATAGTCCAGGCGAAAAAATTTCATTCGAAATTTTTGATGAAAATCTTTTTATAGCTGATAAACCTCTTGGTATCTACGTCTTGGACACTAGCATTTTAGTAAAAAATGAAGAGTCTAAATGTATTAATGATTGGTTCCCACTTCAAATTGGTAATAAGCCAGTTAAAGGAAAATTAAACTTGGAATATCAACTTTTCCCCACCTCCTTCACCGATGGTGAAAAATTTGTTTTTACTAAAGATTCCATTACAGCTCAACATTTATATATTCTTATCAGCAGCCGTAAAGCAAATAGATCATTTGAATTCTCAGACAAATTGGCGCGTTTCTTTAATTATAAATCATGTAAAGAATTGAAAGAAGGCTTTACGAAGCATATTTCTTCAAACAAAGACATTTTAAATTGTGATTTGACTATATTATCTACGGCTCTTACGATTACATATTTTAAGGTTTTATGTTGGAAATATTATGGTGAATGGAAACGAATTATCGAAGATAGTGAAGTTTGGCTCAGTAAAGAAATTAATAACATTGAAATCGAAAATCAATTGTATGATTTATGTAAAAAGTTCATTTATAATCGTTTTAATATTAACATTAAAAATCTTGATAAAGCTCAATTGGAAATCATAGATACAGGTAAATTTTACGCGCTTATCTATAATAATAGTCTTTAATGAAAATGACTTATGTAACACTTTTATTATTATTATATTTAGCAAAACAAACAATTATTACACGAAAGATTATCACCATTCGTTATATTCGTACACTTATTTCCCATCAAAATAAAGATGGTTGTATTGATCTAAATGAAAAGGTCGCTGATTACTATGGCTTCAAAAATGTCGACGAATTTAAACAACATCTGGAAAAATTTTTTAAAACAGAGCGTGTCACCAAAATTCATTATAACGTTTGGGTTACTGCATGTACTATTTGGTATCTACGTTTAGTAGCTGTTGATCATCGAAATGAATGGATTTCTAATTACGAGAAGTTATCCGAATGGTTAACTAAACAATGTAACGGAGATAATGAACTTGAGAATGAAGTCATGGGATGTGCTAGGGAATTTATTGCTTCAAGATATGAAGTTGATAATGGAGCTATAGAAGCTGATAATAGCTTCATCACAGCTGTTAAGACTAAAGAAATAGCAAGGAAAGAAGAAGCGAACAAAACCAAAGGTATGTTTTACCATTTCAATTAATCTTATATTTTTAGTTACTACAAGTAAATGTTACTTATGTTTTTAACACTTTTTTTCCTAAAGCTAAAAGCTTTTTCGGTGGGATTTATGAAGCAGCTGCTAAACTTGGTGATCAGATTGAGGATGTCCTTACATTTAATAAAGACGATCATGATGATCACGAAAAAGCAGAAGCTCTTATTATCGTTGAAGAATCAGCCACCCCTGAAAAATGTAAAGAAATTATTTCAGACCAAAAAGAAGATGGTTGTATTGAATTAAGTGATTTAGTTTGTAATGAATTAGATGTTCCAAAAGAAGAAATCATTAGAACAATTCAAAAGAAAATTACTAATATTAAACTTAAATCACCCGAGTTTTCATCAAGTATTAAAACGGCTATTAATATTGCATATCTTAAGAAAGCTGCGTCTCAATATAAAGGTGAATGGGAAGATAAATATAATAAAGCCTGTGAATATCTCTCAAAACAAATAAACGATGCTGATGCGGAAAAAGAGCTTTTGGAATGTGCAGGCAATTACGTAGTTGAGAATTGTACAAAGAAGGTGATTAAAAATAAAAAGAGAAATGCAATTGTTACCGTTCGAAATCTTACCACTCCTGAAAAATGCGAAAATGTAGTATCTAATCAGAAGGATAATGGATGTTTTGAAGTCAATGAAACTATTTGTAATGAATTAGACATTCCTGTTACAGAAGTAGTAACCAAAGTAAAAACACGAACAAAAAATAAGAAACTTAAATCTCCAGAATCAGAATCATGGTGGAAAACAGCGCTTACTATTAGTTACCTTAAAGTTACTGCACCGCATCACGAAAATAAATGGAAAGATAAATGTGATAAAGCTAAAGAATATCTTTCTAAACAAATTGGAGACGCTGATGTCGAAAAAGAAATATTAGACTGCACTGACAAATTTGTAGTTGATAATATTACAAAAAAGGTTGAAAAAGATCATAAGAAAAATGTTGCAATTACTATTATTAAAGAGTCGAGTTCCCCTGAGAAATGTGAAGAAATTGTATCTAATCAGAAAGAAGATGGCAGCATTGAACTAGGTGATTCGATATGCAAAGAATTAGATACTCCTAAAGAAGAAATAATCACTACGATTAAAAAGAACATTACCAATATAAAACTTCAATTACCTGATCTTTCATCAAGTCTTACGACTGCTATTAATATTTCGTATCTTAAAAATGCAGCGTCTCAGCATAAAGGTGAATGGGAAGATAAATATAAAAAAGCCCGTGAATATCTTTCTAATCAAATTGGAGATAAAGACGCCGAAGAAGAACTATTAGAATGTGCTGATAAATATGTAGTTGATAAAGTAATTGATGAACATAAAAAATATGTAATCGCCAATAAAAAAGATGAAATATCGAAAGAACTTAAATCTAAAAAAACTAAAAGCTTCTTCGGTGGGATTTATGAAGCAGCTGCTAAACTTGGTGATCAGATTGAAGATGTTATTACGTTCAATAAAGATGATCATGACGACCATGAAAAAGCAGAAGCTCTTATTATTGTTGAAGAATCAGCCTCTCCTGAAAAATGTAAAGAAATTATTTCAGATCAAAAGGATGATGGTTGTATTGAATTAAGTGATTCAGTTTGTAATGAATTGGATGCTCCTAAAGAAGAAATCATTTCAACAATTCAAAAGAAAATTAATCATATTAAACTTAAATCACCCGAGTTCTCATCAAGTCTTGCAACTGCTATTAATATTTCATACCTTAAGAAAGCTGCATCCCAATACGAAGGTCAATGGATAGATAAATATAATAAAGCTCGTGAATATCTTTCAAAACAGATAGGAGATGCTAATGCCGAGAAAGAGCTTTTAGAATGTGCCGATAACTACGTAGTTGAGAATTGTACAAAGAAGGTGATTAAAGATAAAAAGAGAAATGCAATAGTTATAATTCGAAATTTTATCACTCCTGAAAAATGCGAAAAAGCAGTGTCTAATCAGGAGGATAATGGATCATTTGAAGTAGATGAGACAATCTGCAAAGAATTAGATGTCCCCATTACCGAAGTAGTAACCAAAGTAAAAACACTAACAAAAAATAAGAAACTTAAACCGTCAGAATCAGAATCATGGTGGAAAACTGCACTTACAATTAGTTACCTTAAAGCTGCCGCACCACATCATGAAAACCTATGGAAAGATAAATGTGATAAAGCTAAAGAATACCTTTCTAAACAAATTGGAGACGCAGATGCCGAAAAAGAAATATTAGATTGCACTGATAAATATGTTATTGATACTATTACTAAAAAAGTTGAAAAGGATCATAAGAAAAATGTTGCAATTACTATTGTTCAAGAATCGGTTTCTCCTGAGAAATGTAGAGAAATTGTATCTAATCAAAAAGAAGATGGCAGTATTGAATTGAATGATTCTGTTTGCAAAGAATTAGATGCTCCTAAAGAAGAAATGATTACTACAATTAAAAAGAACATTACTAATACAAAACTTCAATTGCCCGAATTTTCGTCAACTCTTGCAACTGCTCTTAATCTTTCGTACCTTAAAAATACTGCGTCTCAATATAAAGTTGGATGGGAAGATAAATATAATAAAGCCCGTGAATATCTTTCTAATCAAATTGGTGATAAAGACGCCGAAGAATTATTAGAATGTACTGATAAATATGTAATCGATAAAGCAACGAGTAAAGTAATTGAGGAACATAAAGAGGATGTAATTACTCTCAAGAAAGATGAAATACCGAGAGAACTTAAAAAAGAATCCAAAAAAGAATCCAAAAAAGTTTTAAGCTTTTTCGGTGGGATTTATGCAGCAGCAGCCAAACTTGGTGATCAGATTGAAGATACCCTTACATTTAATAAAGATGATCATGACGACCATGAAAAAGCAGAAGCTCTTATAGTCGTTGAATACTCAGCCTCTCCTGAAAAATGTAAAGAAATAATCTCAGATCAAAAAGATGACGGTTGCATCGAATTAAGTGATTCAGTTTGTAATGAATTAGATGCTCCTAAAGAGGAAGTCATTACAACAATTCAAAAGAAAATTACTAATATTAAACTTAAATCACCCGAGTTCTCATCAATTCTTGCAACGGCCATTAATCTCTCATATCTTGAAAATGCCGCGTCTTAATATGAAGGACAATGGATAGATAAATACAATAAAGCTCGTGAATATCTTTCTAAGCAAATAGGCGATGCTAATGCGGAAAAAGAACTTTTGGAATGTACAGGCAATTACGTAGTTGAGAATTGTACAAAGAAGGTGATTAAAGATAAAAAGAGAAATGCAATCGTTACCGTTCGAAATCTTACCACTCCTGAAAAATGCGAAAAGGTAGTATCTAATCAAAAGGATAATGGATCTTTCGAAATCGATGAGACGATCTGCAATGAATTAGATATTCCCATTACAAAAATAGTAACCAAAGTAAAAACACGAACAAAAAATAAGAAACTTAAATCCCCAGAATCAGAATCATGGTGGAAAACAGCGCTTACTATTAGTTACCTTAAAGCTACTGCACCACATCATGAAAATAAATGGAAAGCTAAATGCGATAAGGCTAGAGAATACCTCTCTGGACAAATTGGAGACGTAGATGCCGAAAAAGAAATATTAGATTGCACTGACAAATATGTAGTTGATAATATTACTAAAAAAGTTGAGAAAGATCATAAGAAAGATGTTGCAATTAGTATTATTCAAGAGTCGGTTTCTCCTGAGAAATGTAAAGAAATTGCATCTAATCAAAAAGAAGATGGCAGCATTGAACTAGGTGATTCAATATGCAAAGAATTAGATGCTCCTAAAGAAGAAATCATTACTACGATTAAAAAGAACATTTCCAATATAAAACTTCAATTACCTGATCTTTCATCAAGTCTTACGACTGCTATTAATATTTCATATCTTAAAAATGCAGCGTCTCAGCATAAAGGTGAATGGGAAGATAAATATAATAAAGCCTGTGAATATCTTTCTAAGCAAATTGGGGATAAAGACGCTGAAAAAAAACTATTAGAATGTGCTGATGAATATGTAGTTGATAAAATAACAAATAAAGTTATTGTGGAACAGAAAAAAGATGTAATTTCCCTTAAGAAAGATGAAATACCGAAAGAACTAAAATCTAAAAAAGGTAAAAGCTTTTTTGGTGGGATTTATGAAGCAGCTGCTAAACTTGGTGATCAGATTGAAGATGTCATTACGTTTAATAAGGATAATCATGACGATCATGAAAAAGCAGAAGCTCTTGTTATTGTTGAAGAATCAGCCTCTCCTGAAAAATGTAAAGAAATCATTTCAGATCAAAAGGATGACGGTTGTATTGAATTGAATGATTCAGTTTGTAATGAATTAGATGCTCCTAAAGAAGAAATTATTTCAACAATTCAAAAGAAAATTAGTAACATTAAACTTAAATCACCCGAGTTTTCATCAAGTCTTGCAACTGCTATTAATATTTCATACCTTAAGAAAGCTGCGTCTCAACATAAAGGTGAATGGGTAGATCAATATAATAAAGCTCGTGAATATCTATCAAAACAGATAGGAGATGTTAATGCTGAGAAAGAACTATTAGAATGTGCCGATAACTACGTAGTTGAGAATTGTACAAAGAAGGTGATTAAAGATAAAAAAAGAAATGCCATAGTTACCTTTCAAAACTCAACCACTCCTGAAAAATGCGAAGAAATATTATCTAGTCAAAAGGATGATGGATCTTTTGAGGTCAATAAGACGAATATTAGGGAAGAAATAACTAATGTAAAAACACGAACAAAAAATAAGAAACTCAAGTCCCCAGAATCAGAATCATGGTGGAAAACGGCACTTACAATTAGTTACCTCAAAGTTGCCGCACCACATCATGAAAATAAATGGAAGGATAAATGTGATAAAGCTAGAGAATACCTTTCTAAACAAATTGGAGACGCAGATGCCGAAAAAGAAATATTAGACTGCACTGACAAATATTTTGTTGATCATATTACAAAAATTGTTGAAAAAGATCATAAAAAAGATGTTGCAATTAGTATTATTCAAGAGTCGGCTTCTCCTGAGAAATGCGAAGAAATTGTATCTAATCAGAAAGAAGATGGCAGTATTGAACTAGGTGATTCAATATGTAAAGAATTAGATGCTCCTAAAGAAGAAATCATTACTACGATTCAAAAGAACATTACCAATATAAAACTTCAATTACCAGAGCTTTCATCAAGTCTTACGACTGCTATTAATCTTTCATATCTTAAAAATGCAGCGTCTCAATATAAAGGTGAATGGGAAGATAAATATAATAAAGCTCGGGAATATCTTTCTAATCAAATCGGAGATAAAGACGCCGAAGAAGAATTATTAGAATGTGCTGATAAATATGTAATTGATAAAGTAATTGAGGAACAGAAAGAAGATGTAATTGCCCTTAATAAAATACCGAAAGAACTTAAATCTAAAAAAGGTAAAAGCTTTTTCGGTGGGATTTATGAAGCAGCTACCAAACTTGGTGATCAGATTGAAGATGCCCTTACATTTAATAAAGATGATCATGACGATCATGAAAAAGCAGAAGCCCTTGTTATCGTTGAAGAATCAGCCTCTCCTGAAAAATGTGAAGAAATTCTTTCAGAACAAAAGGATGACGGTTGCATTGAATTAAATGATTCAGTTTGTAATGAATTAGACGCTCCTAAAGAAGAAATTATTACAACAATTCAAAAGAAAATTACTAATATTAAACTTAAATCACCCGAGTTTTCATCAAGTCTTACAACTGCTATTAATATCTCATATCTTAAGAATGCCGCATCCAAATACGAAGGTCAATGGATAGATAAATATAATAAAGCTCGTGAATATCTCTCAAAACAGATAGGAGATGCTAATGCTGAGAAAGAACTTTTAGAATGTGCCGATAACTACGTAGTTGAGAATTGTACAAAGAAAGTGATTAAAGACAAAAAGAGAAATGCAATAGCTACAGTTCAAAACTCAACTACTCCTGAAAAATGCGAAGGTGCAGTCGCTAATCAAAAGGATAATGGATCCTTCGAAATCAGTGATACGGTCTGTAAAGAATTGGACGTTCCCGTTATAGAAGTAGTAACCAAAGTAAAAACACAAACAAAGAATAAGAAACTAAAGTCCCCGGAATCAGTATCATGGTGGAAAACAGCACTTACTATTAGCTACCTTAAAGTATCCGCACCACATCATGAAAGTTTATGGAAAGATAAATGTGATAAAGCTAGAGAATACCTTTCTAAACAAATTGGAGATGCAGATATCGAAAAAGAAATATTAGATTGCACTGACAAATATGTTGTCGATAATATTACCAAAAAGGTTGAAAAAGATCATAAGCAAAATGTTGCAATTACTATTATTCAAGAGTCAACTTCTCCCGAGAAATGTGAAGAAATTGTATCTAATCAAAAAGAAGATGGCAGCATTGAATTAAATGATTCTGTTTGCAAAGAATTGGATGCTCCTAAAGAAGAAATGATTACTACAATTAAAAAGAACATTACTAATGCAAAACTTCAATTGCCCGAATTATCGTCATCTCTTGCAACTGCTATAAATCTTTCTTATCTTAAGAATGTTGCGTCTCAATATAAAGGTGAATGGGAAGATAAATATACTAAAGCCCGTGAATATCTTTCTAATCAAATTGGTGATAAAGACGCCGAAGAAGAACTATTAGAATGTGCTGATAAATATGTAGTTGATAAAGCAACAATTAAAGTAATTGAGGAACATAAAGAAGATGTGATTTCCCTCAAGGAAGATGAAATACCAAAAGAACTTAATAAAGAACCTAAAAAAGAATCTAAAAAAGTTTTAAGCTTTTTTGGTGGGATTTATGAAGCAGCTACTAAACTTGGTGATCAGATTGAAGATGTCATTACGTTTAATAAGGATGATCATGACGACCATGAAAAAGCAGAAGCTCTTGTTATTGTTGAAGAATCAACCTCTCCTGAAAAATGTGAAGAAATTCTTTCAGATCAAAAGGATGACGGTTGTATTGAATTGAATGATTCAGTTTGTAATGAATTAGACGCTCCTAAAGAAGAAATCATTACATCAATTCAAAAAAAAATTAGCAACATTAAACTTAAATCACCCGAGTTTTCATCAAGTCTTTCAACTGCTATTAATATTTCATACCTTAAGAAAGCTGCATCCCAATACGAAGGTCAATGGATAGATAAATATAATAAAGCTCGTGAATACCTTTCAAAACAGGTAGGAGATGCCAATGCTGAGAAAGAACTTTTAGAATGTGCCGATAACTACGTAGTTGAGAATTGTACAAAGAAGGTGATTAAAGATAAAAAGCGAAATGCAATAGTTACCATTCAAAGCTCAACCACTCCTGAAAAATGCGAAGATGCGGTATCGAATCAGAATGATAATGGATCTTTTGAGATCACTGAGACGATTTGCAAAGAATTAGACGTTCCCATTACCGAAGTAGTAACCAATGTAAAAACATGCACAAAAAATAAGAAACTTAAACCATCAGAATCAGAAGCATGGTGGAAAACAGCACTTACTATTAGTTACCTTAAAGTTACTGCACCACATCATGAAAATTTATGGAAAGATAAATGTGATAAAGCTAGAGAATACCTTTCTAAACAAATTGGAGACGCTGATGCCGAAAAAGAGATATTAGATTGCACTGATAAATATGTTATTGATACTATTACTAAAAAAGTTGAAAAGGATCATAAGAAAAATGTTGCAATTACTATTGTTCAAGAATCGGTTTCTTCCGAGAAATGTAAAGAGATTGTATCTAATCAAAAAGAAGATGGCAGCATTGAATTGGACGATTCTGTTTGCAAAGAATTGGATACTCCTAAAGAAGAAATAATTACAACGATTAAAAAGAACATTACTAATACAAAACTTCAATTGCCCGAATTATCGTCAACTCTTACAACTGCTATTAATCTTTCGTATCTTAAGAATGCTGCATCTAAATATAAAGGTGAATGGGAAGATAAATATAACAAAGCTCGTGAATATCTTTCTAATCAAATTGGTGATAAAGACGCCGAAGAAGAACTATTAGAATGTGCTGATAAATATGTAGTTAATAAAGTAACAAATAAAGTAATTGAGGAAAAGAAAGAGGATGTAATTACTCTCAAGAAAGATGAAATAACGAGAGAACTTAAAAAAGAATCCAAAAAAGAATCCAAAAAAGTTTTAAGCTTTTTCGGTGGAATTTATGAAACAGCTGCTAAGCTTGGTGATCAAATTGAAGACGCACTTACATTTAATAAAGATAATCATGACGATCATGAAAAAGCAGAAGCTCTTATTGTCGTTGAAGAATCAACCTCTCCTGAAAAATGTGAAGAAATTATTTCAGATCAAAAGGATGACGGTTGTATCGAATTAAGTGATTCAGTTTGTAATGAATTAGATGTTCCTAAAGAAGAAATTATTACAACAATTCAAAAGAAAATTACTAATATTAAACTTAAATCACCCGAGTTTTCATCAAGTCTTGCAACTGCTATTAATCTCTCATATCTTGAAAATGCAGCGTCTAAATATGAAGGACAATGGATAGATAAATATAATAAAGCTCGTGAATATCTTTCTAAGCAAATAGGCGATGCTGATGCGGAAAAAGAGCTTTTAGATTGTGCAGACAATTACGTTGTCGCTAATTGTACAAAGAAGGTGATTAAAGATAAAAAGAGAAAGGCAGTAGTTACAGTTCGAAACTTGACAACACCCGAAAAATGCGAAAATGTAGTGTCTAATCAGAAAGATAATGGATCATTTGAAATCGTTAAAACTATCTGTGAAGAAATAGACATTCCCGTTACAGAAGTAGTAACCAAAGTAAAAACCCAAACAAAAAATAAGAAACTCAAGTCCCCAGAATCAGAATCATGGTGGAAAACAGCACTTACTATTAGTTACCTTAAAGTATCCGCACCACATCATGAAAATTTATGGAAAGATAAATGTGATAAAGCTCTGAAGTACCTTTCCGAACAAATTGGAGACGCAGATATCGAAAAAGAAATATTAGATTGCACTGACAAATATGTAGTTGATAATATTACTAAAAAGGTTGAGAAAGATCATAAGAAAGATGTTGCAATTACTATTATTAATGAGTCAACTTCCCCTGAGAAATGTAGAGAAATTACATCTAATCAAAAGGAAGATGGCAGCATTGAACTAGGTGATTCAATATGCAAAGAATTAGATGCACCTAAAGAAGAAATAATTGATACGATTAAAAAGAACATTTCCAATATAAAACTTAAATTACCTGATCTTTCATCAAGTCTTACGACTGCTATTAATATTTCATATCTTAAAAATGCAGCGTCTCAGCATAAAGGTGAATGGGAAGATAAATATAACAAAGCTCGTGAATATCTTTCTAATCAAATTAGTGATAAAGACGCTGAAGAAAAACTACTAGAATGTGCTGATAAATATGTAGTTGATAACATAACAAATAAAGTAATCGAGGAACAGAAAAAAGATGTAATTACCCTTAAGAAAATACCGAAAGAACTTGAATCTAAAAAAGGTAAAAGCTTCTTCGGCGGAATTTATGAAGCAGCTGCCAAGCTTGGTGATCAAATTGAAGATGCCCTTACATTTAATAAAGATGATCATGACGATCATGAAAAAGCAGAAGCTCTTGTTATCGTTGAAAAATCATCCTCTACTGAAAAATGTAAAGAAATTCTTTCAGATCAAAAGGATGATGGTTGTATTAAATTAAGTGATTCAGTTTGTAATGAATTAGATGCTCCTAAAGAAGAAATCATTACAACCATTCAAAATAAAATTAGTAATATTAAACTTAAATCACCAGAGTTTTCATCAAGTCTTGCAACTGCTATTAATATTTCATACCTTAAAAATGCTGCGTCTCAATATAAAGGTGAATGGGTAGATAAATATAATAAAGCTCGTGAATATCTCTCAAAACAGATAGGAGATTCTGATGCTGAGAAAGAGCTTTTAGAATGTACCGATAACTACGTAGTTGAAAATTGTACAAAGAAGGTTATTAAAGATAAAAAGAGAAATGCAGTAGTTACAGTTCAAAACTTAACAACCCCCGAAAAATGCGAAAATGCAGTATCTAATCAAAAGGATGATGGATCCTTCGAAGTCAGTGAGACTATATGCAATGAATTAGACATTCCAGTTACAGAAGTAGTAATCAAAGTAAAAACACGAACGAAAAATAAAAAACTCAAATCCCCAGAATCAGAATCATGGTGGAAAACAGCACTTACTATTAGCTACCTTAAAGTATCCGCACCACATCATGAAAGTTTATGGAAAGATA